AATGACTTTGGGAAACCCAATGATTTGAGACATCCAATGGTACTGGGGACACCCGATGAATGACTTTGGGGACACTCAATGATTTGGGGGCACCCAATGACTTTGGGGACAATTAATAAGTTTGGGACACACAATGATTTGGGACATCCAGTGATTTGGGACATCCAATGACTTTGGGAAACCCGATGATTTGGGACATCCAATGATACTGGGGACACCCAATGAATGACTTTGGGGACACTCAATGATTTGGGGGCACTCAATGATTTGGGACACTCAGTGATTTGGGACATCCAATGACTTTGGGAAACCCGACGATTTGGGACAGCCAATGATACTGGGGACAACCGATGAATGACTTTGGGGACACTCAATGATTTGGGGGCACTCAATGACTTTGGGGACATTCAACGACTCTGGGGACACGCAATGATTTGGGATATCCAGTGAGTTGGGACACCCAATGATTTGGGACATCCAATGACTTTGGAAACACCCAATGAATGACTTTGGGCACCCAACGACTTTGGGGACATCCAATGACTTTGGGGTCACCCAATGAATGACTTTGGGCACCCAACGACTTTGGGGACATCCAATGACTTTGGGGACACACAATGATTTGGGACATCCAGTGATTTGGGACATCCAATGACTTTGGGACACTCATTGAATGACTCTGGGCACCCAATGACTTTGGGGACACCCAATGATTTGGGGACATCCAATGAATGACTTTGGGACACCCAACAACTTTGTGGCACCCGATGAGTGACTTTGGGGACACTCAATGATTTGGGGGGACAGCCAACGACTTCAGGACACCCAATGAGTTTGGGGGCACTCAATGATTTTGGGGACATTGAGTAACTTGGGACACACAATTATTTGGGGACACCCAATGAATGACTTTGGGCACCCAATGACTTTGGGGACATTCAGTAACTTCGGGACACACAATGATTTGGGGACATCCAATGATTTGGGGACATCCAATGACTTTGGGGGCACTCAATGACTTTGGGGACACCCAATGATTTGGGACACCCAATGAATGACCTTGGGGGGACACTCAATGATTTGGGGGCACTCAATGACTTTGGGGGCACTCAATGACTTTGGGACACCCAATGACTTTGGGGGCACCCAATGAATAACTTCTGGGACACTCAATGACTTTGGGGACATTCAGTAACTTCAGGACACACAATGATTTCGGGACATCCAATGATTTGGGGACACCCAATGACTTTGGGGGCACTCAATGACTTTGGGGAACACCCGATGACTTTGGGGCACCCAATGAGTGACTTTGGAGACATTCAATGTCTTTGGGGCACCCAATGATTCGGGGACACCGGGTGCTGCCACCCATCCCCAAGGGTGCCCGGCTGGCGTCACCTCGTTCTTCTCCAGGCTGTACTCCTCCATCATTTTGTCCCCCTGCTCCTGGAAGGTGATGATGATCAAAGCCACGAAGATGTTGACGAAGAAGAAGGGGAAGACGACGAAGTAAACCACGTAGAAGATGGACATCTCCATGCGGTACCCGGGGCTGGGGCCCTGGTTCTCGTAGGTGGCGTCCACCGAGTGCTTCAGGACCCTTAGGGTGGGACACACGGGGGGTGACCCACGGGGTCCGAGCCCCCCTCCCCTCCCCCCCGGAGCCCACCCCCACCCCACAACACCCCCCCTTACTGCGGCCACCCCTCCCCGGTGGAGACGGTGAAGAGGGTGAGCAGCGCCCAGAGCACGTTGTCGTAATGGAAGTCGTATTTCTTCCACTCCCTCCTCTGCGCCTTCACCTCGTTCTTCTCGTAGACCAGGTACTCCCCCCTGCGGGGAGGGGGCGGTGGGTTGGGGGGCTTCTGATTCGGGACGTTCGGTGGCTTTGGGGGTAGCCAACGAAGGACTCTGGGGACACCCATTGACTTTGGGGGCACCCAATGATTTTGGGACATTCATTGACTTTAGGGGCACCCAATGACTTTGGGACACCCAATGAATGATTTTGGGGGCACCCAGTGACTTTGGGGGCCGTCAATGATTCTGGGACACCCAATGAGTTTGGGAAACCCAATGATTTTGGGGGCACCCAACGACTTTGGGACATCAAATGGCTTTGGGGACACCCGATGAATAGCTATGGGCACCCAATGACTTTGGGACACCCAGTGAATGATTTTGGGGGCACCCAATGACTTTGGGGGCAGTCAATGACCTTGGGGGCAGTCAATGACTTTAGGACACTCAACGACTTTGGGACACCCAATGAATTTGGGAAACCCAATGACTTTGGGGCACCCAGTGAATGACTCTGGGGGCACCCAATGACCTTGGGGGCAGTCAGTGACTTTAGGACACTCAATGACTTTGGAACACCCAATGAATGAACTTGGGGGCACCCAATGACTTCGGGACCCCCAATGACTTTGGGACATTCAATAATTTTGGGACACCCAATGACTTTGGGACACCCAATGATTTGGGGACACCCAATGACTTTTGGACACTCGATGACTTTGGGACACCCAATGAATGACCTTGGGGGCACCCAACGACTTTGGGACATTCAATAATTTTGGGACACCCAATGATTTGGGGACACCCAATGACTTTTGGGCACTCAATGACTTTGGGACACCCAATGACTTTGGGACACCCAATGAATGATTTTAGGGGCACCCAATGACTTTGGGACACCCAATGATTTGGGGACACCCAATGACTTTTGGGCACTCGATGACTTTGGGACACCCAATGACTTTGGGACACCCAATGAATGACTTGGGGGCACCCAGTGACTTTGGGACATTCAATAATTTTGGGACACCCAATGACTTTGGGACACCCACCGATTTGGGAAAACCCAATGACTTCGGGACACCCACCGATTTGGGGCCACCCAACAGGGGTGGGGGGCGTGGGGAGGGGGTCCGTCTGTACCTGCAGTCCTTCTCGAACTCCTTGGACTCGTCGGTGCAGTAGAAGAATTTGCCCTTGAAGAGCTGAACGGCCACCACGGCGAAGAT